GAACTGGGGATTGAACTTAGGTCCTTGTGCTTGCCAGGCAAGGGCTTATTCTACTGAGCCATCTCCCTGGCCCCAGGCATAGTGTTTTGTTTGTTTGTATTTTTAGGTTTTTTTGAGATAAGGTCTTGTTTTGTAGTTCAGGCTAGGCTTAAACATGTGATCCTTGAGCCTTGGCCTCCCAAGTGCTAGGATTACAGTCACTATGACCGAGAGCATGTGTATTATTTACATTAATGATGAGATATTACTTTCCATTTTATAAGTTAGGAAACTATAGATCAGAAAAATCCAGGAGGGTCACCTTGAGTTTGAGGTCAGGCTTAAATAGTGAATTCAAATCCAGCCTAAACTACATAGTGAGACCGTGCTTAAAAAAAAATAAAAGAAAGAAAGAAAAAAGAGAGAAAAGTATTCTTTTTTTAAAGCCATGATTTCAATTCATGTGTATATTGTATTTAACTCATGCTTATTCTTTGTGATGCTAGGAATTGACCCCAGGCCTTTGTATGGGCTAGGAGAGCCTTCTACCACTGAGATATATTCCTAGGCATAAACCTGTGGGGGGTTTTTTGGTTGGTTTGTTTGTATGTTTTTGTCTTTTTAAATCAGGGCTTCTGGGGCCGGGGAGATGGCTCAGTAGAATAAGCACTTCCTGGCAAGTGCAAAGGTCTGAATTCAATACCCAGTTCTGCAAAAATAAATAAATAAATAAAACAGAGCTGCTTTTTTTTTTTTTTTTTTTTTTTTTTTTTTAAGAGAGGGTTTCTTGATGTACCAAAGGGCTCACTTTGTAGCACAGGCTGACCTCAAAATCACAATGACACTTTTGCCTCAGCCTCCAGAATACTGAGAATATGCTTAAAAAGGTATGCACCACCATGCCCGGCCAATCCTGTGTTTTTAAGCATGTTCTATATGTGAGACCAGATATGGTGGCACACAGCTGTAATCCCAGTACTCAGGCAGGTGAGGGAGGAGGATCCCTACAAGTTCAAGGCCAGTCTGGGTTGCATACCAGCAGTGAGTTCAAAGCTAACCTGGACATAAGGAGACCACGTCTCAAAAGAAAACAAAAAAGGGAGAAAGTGGGAGAGGACAAATGGAAATGAAGATACATTGTGTGCATGTGCCAACTCCCCATGATCAGTGTAATCATTATGTACTCTAAACACATACAAAAAAAAAAAGAAAAAATTTTGCAAAACTGCTGTGGACATGATAAAGGGTTGAGTTTTTGCAGGGATATTTTGTATACTATACATAATTGTGTTTGAAAATAAAAATTAAGGGCTGACCAAATAGCTCAGTGGATTAAAGTGCCTGCAAGCAGGCA